CCGCTGCCCCCGGGACCCGCCCGGCAGATGTGCGCCCCGCGCTGGGCAGGTTCCGCGGGCTGCGGGGGGCACCGGGCGGGCTGGGGTCCCGGGCTCCGGGCGTCCTGCGTGTGTCCCGGGCGCTCCAGGCCCCGCACGGGCTGCGGAGTCCCGGGCGGGGGTCCCCGCGGGCTGCGGGAGGAGGCGCGGGCCCCGCGGGGAGCTGGTCGACCAGAGGGGCGCGCGCAGCCCCTGCCCTTCCCGGCGAGCGCGCTGGCCGCCTCCCCGCAGACCTGCGCTCACAATCCCCCGGCGTCGGGCGCCGCGCGCACAGCCCGCCCGCCCGGCCCGACCTGCCCGCGCGCCCCGGCCTCCTGGAACCGCGCACCGGGCGCCGCCGCCAAATCCCTCCCCTTCGCGGGGGGCGGCGGGGGGGTCGTAGGCGGCCGGCGCCGTCTACGCTCCCCGGGAGACGCCGAGACCGGGCGGCCGGGGCTCGGCGCGGGCTCGGCGCGCATCAGCACGAGCCACACCAGGACGCGGGACACACCCCAATGGCCCGGGCCTGGGAAGCGGGGGCGGAGGCGGCGGGGAGTCCCTTCCCCGTAGGCCAGAATTGGGGAGCAGGTGTCCGGCACCTGCCTGGGGGCTGGGGGCTGGGGGTTGCACCGAGGTCAGGCGTCCTGCCGGGAGGCCGCCGGCGGTGGCCTCTCGGGCCCTCCCCTGGGGTCGCTCTGCCTGCGCGGCCTCCTTCGCGTGCCTCTAGGGACAAGGCCGCCCTGCACGCCCTCCACTCCCTCCGTTCCACCGACATCCGCTTGGCTTGGCTCGGCTGGGGGTGCCAGGACCCCCCTCTGACACCGAGCCTTGCAGCGTGCGCAGGGTTCCTGGGCGGCTCCGCAGCGGGGCAGCTCCTCAGGGCCCTCCCAGCGGGCTCAGGAGAACCTACTGTGTGCCCATGGCCGGGCGCAGGAAAGAACCAGAAAGCTTCCTTTCTGACTTGGAGGGCCCCCAGGCTAGCGCTGTGGGTGCTCACCATGTACCTGTTCACCCCAGGACTCATTCTTCCTGAGGACCCACTGTGTGCTGAACCCAGGGTGACATCCAGAGTACAGGGGAGATTCAGACCCCCCAATTCCTGACCTGCTGGGCACCAGGGCCAGGCCAGGGCTTTCCCCACTTATTCATTTCCCCGGATGTTTTCTGAGGACCTACTGTGTGCCAGGGCCAGTGTGGGTGATGCCAGACCAGAAGCAAAAAGTCCGACAGTCCCTGGTTCCTTCGCAGAGCTGAGCTGAGCAGAGAGGCCTCCCAGGTCTGGGCTCTCCTCCTCCAGTGACACACCCGCAGATCCCTTGTGCTTAACTTATTTTCAAATAAATCATGTTTTTCAAACTTTTGGGGGTGGAACAAAGAAACCTGCGTATGGCTTGGACAAGGATGTGAAGAGGTTCACTCTGTGGGGATGACGCTGCGGCTGTTCAGGAGATGATGTTGCTCAGACACGCAAGCGAAGGCATTTACCAGTGAAGCAAGGTCAGATCTTATCATTTACTTCAAAATAAATTTGCAAACATAGACATTTCCATGACCTATTTGAAAAGCAGTTGTCTATTATAAAGATTAGTAAACGCTTGTTTTTCTTGGTGCTGCTTAACCTTTCAGAGGCGGTGGATTACGGAAGGCACCACGCTTTAAACTTTTCGGTTTAATTGGAAAGTCTTATTTTTTTATTTTTTAAACGTGGGATTATTGTGCGGACCTGTTGTCCTAGGCACAGGGCAGTTTGTCAGTCGGCGTTGTGCCCAGACTGTGGGCACCGGGCGGGGTGGGGGGGTGGGGGGGTACGCTGTGTGTAGGGTGTACGAGAATGAAGGGAATCCCCAGGGGCTGCCCCCGCAGGGGCGCATTCAGGCAGCTGAGTGAACATTCACAGGAACCGCCGCTTACCGGGAAACAGGGCAGAGGCGGGCAGGGGACCACAGACAATGGTGCCTGGGGGGCCCCTGGGAGGACTCTGGGGGACTCGGTGCCTCTGGGGGGGACTGAGTACCTGGTGGGGGCTCGGTGCCCGGGGAGGGGTGGCTGGTTATTTTTTGACTGCTCAAGTTGCCCACCACGGGGACGTGACCGGTGAGATGATGTCGGGGTCCTGCTGGGATTCTGGCTCCGAGGGAGGCCGCGGCGGACCTGCGTCCAGTGGGCCACGCGGTGCTGCGGCAGCGGGGCGCCCCAAGGCGGCGGCTCCTGGAAGGGGGGTCCTTTGGTGTGCGGTGCTGCTGAGCCTGAAGGGCCGGGCCGGCCCCCCCGCGCGGCCGGTCTCTCCAGGCAGAGTCCGGGGGCGCAGCCCGTGCGTCCTGCTCCCGGGGCTCCGCCGCCGTCTCGGTTCCGGACCCGCAGGGCAGGAAAGGGAACCCCGAGCCGGTGCCCTTCGTCCCGGGCGCCCTTTGTCGTGGGGAGCTGGCGGAGCGGGGGCCGCACTCAGGGCAGGGGGGGCAGGCGGGGGCGGGACCCCGGAGGAAGAAGCCCCAGGGGAGCCCGGGCACCGTCTCAGTGCGCAGCGACCTCTCGCCCGCCGCGGGGTGTGTCCAGGGGACGGGGGCGCCCTCGGGAGCTGGGCCCGCGGGGAGCGGGGCGTCTGCGCCGAGAAACGTCTCCCCGGGAGCCCCGGGGCCCCCGCGGGCTTCCACTGACGGGACGAGGCCACCGGCGGGCCGGGGTCGCCCTCAGAGACGGACTCACGGACGCGAGCGCAGCCGCCGCCGCCCAGACCCAGCCACTAGGGGGCCGGAGCCCGAGCAGGCACGCGGGACCCCCAGGCTCGGGAGGGCGGCAGGGGGGGTGGGGAGGGCGGGACCCCCCAGGCTCAGGAGGGGGGCGAGGAGGGCGGGGAGGGCCGCGGGCGCGCGCGCGGCTCTCGGCACAGTCGCCAAGTCATGTTGGGGCGCGGGGGGCGCAGGGGCCTGATAAACTGCGCAGCTGCGCCCCAGGCGCGCCAAGGCGGGCGGGTCGGGCTCCCGGGCGGGCGGGCGCTGCGTCGGGGACGAAGGGGCAGCCGCGCCCTCGGCCCAGCTTTCCGGGACCAGTGCGGGGCGGGGGTGGGGGCTCGCGGCCCCGAGCCCGGAGGGCAGGGGAGCCCGTCCCGGGGCCCCGCCCTGGCACGGGGTCCTGGACGCCGAGGGCCGCGCTGGCGGGACGCGGCTCCGTGGGCGGAAAGGCCGCGACCCCCGAGACCGGCGCCCCCCGCGCCTCCCCAGGGCTCGGCCCGCGGCCGTCCGGAGACCATGGGGCGTCGGGGCGCCGGGGGCGTCTCGGGAAGGGGACGGGGCGCCCGAGGGCCCGAGACACATGCCGGGCGGGGCGCGCGGGAGGCCGGGGCGCCGTGGCGTCGGGAGCCCGAGGCTGGGTCCGGGCGGCGCCGGCGGCGTTTCCCGGGACGGAGCGGCCGCGGGAACCGGTTGGGGCCGCCGCGTTTAGGGCCGCGCGGGAGGAGTCGGCGGCCGCCCCGCTCGGCCGGACCGTCCCCCGCGCCCGGCCCCGCCGCCCCCGGCCCCGTCTGCGGGGACAGGACTCGGCGGTGAGGACCGGGCGGCGGGGGCTGCGGGGGCGCCGGGGATCGCGGGGGGCGCAGGGGCCCCGCTCCGCCAGACTTCCCTTCGGGCTTCAACGGCGGAGCCGCTGCCCGCAGCCCCAGCCCGCCCTCCCGCCGGCGGGGGGTCCCCGGGGCGCCCGGACCGCTAGAGCCCCGGAGACCCCGTCACTGGGCTCCGCGGCCCTCCCGGGCGGCTCCCCGTGGGCCCCGGGCGGAGGCTGAAGCGGAGGCGGAGACGCGGGGGTCCCGGCCCGGAGGGACCCCGGGGCCACAGGTGCAGGTGACCCCTTGGGCTCGCCTCCTGCGCTGGGGGGGTGAGCGCCTGAACCCCGCCTCTGTGGGGCCCCCGCACGGACGGAACCCGCGCCGGGTGTGCGGCTGGAGCAGGAGACGCGAGAGAGGCTGGGGGGGGAGCCCCAGCCACCACGTCCCCCCAGCCACCCCCATCGCGTCCCCCCAATCCCCCGGGCCCCCCTTCGCCCCATCTCCTCTCGCCGGGGCTCCCCCCAGGCCGACAGGCCCCCACCGTCGGGGAGACTCGGGAGGGGCAGAGCCCGAGGGCGGCGGGGCGGGAGCAGAGGCGCTTCCCCTCCGGTGCTCCCGGTCCCGCGGGGCGGGCGGGGCTGCCGCTTCCTCCTCCGGCCGTGGACTCCCAGGGACTCCCGGCAGGGCTGGCGGACCCGGCTCCGGTTGGGCCCGGCCCTGAGCGTGGGGGCCGGCCCTGAGCGTGACGCGGCCCAGGCTCCTGGCTTGGGCCCGCCCTGGCTCGGGCTCCCCTCTGTCCGCGGGCTGTTTTGGCTCCCGGGGTTTTACTTAGCGGGCAGCCCCCTCCAGGCCCAGCAGCGGGAGGGCAGAGCGGGTGCCCGGGTGTGCGCAGCTGGGGGGGGGGTCCCTGCTTGCGCCCCGAGGGGAAGCCCCACTTCACCCCAGTGTGACCGCAGGCGGGAGAGCAGGTGCCGCCAAGAGTATCAGGGTATCGTGGGCGGCGCCTCCTCGGCCGCTGACCACAAGTGCTGTTCAGGAGTCCTTGTCTTTGAGGAGCGTCTCCCCTTCTCTGTCGGCTGTTTGGCCTGCAGAGTCCAGTCTCCTATAATCTCCCCCTGTCGGGGAGCCCCGAGGGCAGCGGGCAGCCTTGAGCTTAGGCCTCCAAAGAAAGGGCTGGAGAAACAGCCGCTCCTGAGGCCACATGGTTCTGCATACTCGGGAGGGGATGTGGGGGGACAGAGCAGAGCTACAAAGGCGGTCGCAGGCCTGGAGGACCCCCTGGCATCTGTGCCCCATCTTTCAAGGCCCTCCCTGCACACTTCACCCCTGCTCTGCTCCTCCCCCTTCCTCCTGGCTCCCCTCACTGCACCCCCAAGGCCCTCCCTGTCCTAGCCCCAATGCCATGAACTGAAAGAGCAGCTGATTTGCAGCCCCACTTCCAAGTGGGGATCCTCCTATCTTTGGACGTCTCGGCTGGCGCGGCTCCTCTCCCCGACAGTGCAGACAACTCGCTGACTTTATGACTCTGGGGGCCTGGGGGCCTTGGCAGAGATGATGGTGGGTTCCTGAGGCTGCAGGTACCCAAAACTCAGCCCTGACCCTGAGCACAGCGTCGCCTTCCTCTCTGGGGGCTCTGCCCTGTACACCCCCCCTCCCAGGTGTGTCAACCACTGTTTCCTGCCCTCCCCTTTATTCTGGTGAGGTCCCAGTAGCTCTGAGTGCTCCCCAAGTCCAGAGCTGCCCCATCTCTGATTCCAGATTCTGCCCAGGTGGGAGCCTCTGCCTGGAGCAGAGACCTTGGCGCAGGGGAGCGGCTCCCTTTGGCAGAAGCTGCACAACTGCGGGGCGGCCAGTCTGAGAACCCTCGGGACCCGGTCCTGCCGGGTAAGAATGGGAAGGGGAACCCGGCCTGTAGGATTCCTGGGGTGCAGCGTCAGGTCACTGGGAAGGGACATGGAATGCCCCCCAAAGCAGGACGGCGGGAGATCTGCACAACTGTGATCTTTATAAAAACCATTTCCTAAGAGAAATGCCCTGTACCTTCAGCTGCAGCCATTTCTCTTTTACCTGAAAACGCTCATATAATTGATCCCGGGATGTATTTTCTGTTTCAGGCTAATGAACAGCGCCCCTGATGCGCAGCTCAGGGAGACCAGGAAGCTCGGGTAAGTGACACTCAGATGCGAGAGCTTTGATTACAATGCATAAATGAAAAATGAATCCGTATTATAATAAAAACCATGATTGATGTTGTCATCGCCTCTGGAGATCATCTAATTTGTGGCTCCCCCACACGAGAATCTTCTCATTTTGAGAGAAATAATGTATCCCAAAACTGCAATGAGAAAAAATAAATTGCATACAGGTAGTGAGTCCCCCTTGATATGTTATGTTTTCCTATTATGGAACATTCATAAAACAGAGCATTAAAAAAAACCCCACCTTGGTGTTATTTTTCTAAAAACACATTAGATATGTTTGGGGAAGATGAAGAAAGAACATTCCCGAGATAAAGCCTGTTTATCGTGTTACAGAGGACACGGTGTTGTAATAAGGCCACTGTGGAGCTACCACAAAAGTTCAGGTGAGTGTTTTAATGTGCCCGGCTCTCCTACTACCTGTGGCATCTCCACTGAATGAACCAAGGTTTGCGCTCTAGGAGAGACAGAAAGTGAAAGCCACAGGTGAACTATCAACTATGATCTCTGCGAGGACACTGGGTTTATACTGACCTGTGACAGCATGAGCTGGACATGGGAATTCCATCCTAGTCTATTCTTTTTCTTTTTGTAAAGGCAAGGAACTAGTCACAGGGAGAAGCTTTCAGTTATACAAAATTTTCTTTTATGAAATAACCTGGCTCCATTCATTATTCTGTCCTGCTCTTCCTATAGGTGTAGACAATTTTCACAACTCTTGTATTTGGAAGCTGGAAGGGCCCAGACTTTGAAGTAGTGTCTTGTTTTCACTGCTTTATTTTTAATTAAGGCTATATACAGCTGTGGATTCACAGAATAAATTTCTAAATTTAAAAATGAAGAAAAAGGGCAAAGGATGTTTATTTGGGTTGAAAAGCTAGCCGGAGCACAGGTTCAGGCTAGAAACCCAACCCTCCTCACAAAAAAAAAAAAAATGAGGTGACCTTGACATTAACTCCCAGTGCTGCTGCTCTGCCCTCGCCTGCGTGACTAGCAGGAGGCCATGTTTCATCCTCAAATGTTTTTCTGCAACCACATGGAATTCTTAAGACTTTTTAAAAATTACTTTTCCCTGCCAAGGAGCAAGGAGGTCATTTTACCAATGGACTTTTCATCAGCTTCTGTTACTGGTTCAGATAATGACAGGGAGTTGTGTACAGTACAGAAAATGTGAAGAGTAGAATAAAATAGAATGAACAGTATCAAAAAGTACTCTTATGACTTAGCATGTTTCCTTCATAGTTTTTTCCCCAATATTTGCAATTGTGAAATAGAATGCCTCTGCAGAAGGTGGGTGTAGCTTGAGAATTAGAAAATGAGCTTCCATTAAATAGGTCAAGGAATGTAAAGTCACATCATATGATCTTCATCCATAAGGAAGCCCCTATATGGCTGTCACTCATTTTTTTCTTTGTTCTTTACTACAGATCCTGGTATGTATCACTGCATGTACCATTAAAATGTGATTTTAATTTTATGTGATGCTTATAATTTAACTTAATCATGTTGTTTGTCTCAGATGTCACTCAACAGTATGAGGGCAAGACTAGTCCACATTTTGGATGCAGCCAGACTGTTTATTCTCACTGCTGTATAACAGTCCACTCCATGCTGTTGTTTACATTGTGTTCTACTCACGTAAGGGGTGAGAAGAGGATGTTTCATTAATATTTTCCTTCTGTGGAATGACAGCATTGCTAGAATTCTCCACGTTCAACATTTAATACTAATATAAGGACTTTCCATATCATTAAAAACGACTCAGTGTTATTGTATCTAGTTTTTACATTTAATTTTGTATAAATTGGCAGTTTTTATTTAGATAGTTTCAAATCATTTTAGTGTAAATAAAGTGTTAGTGAACATTTTTACACGTAAGGATTTTTTATCTGAATTTGGAAACATTTCTTTAGGTCATTTCCAAAAATAAAATTATTTCCATTGAAAATGTAAGTATTGTAGGGCCTCCCTGGGGGCGCAGCAGGTTGAGCGCCGCGCTGTGGAGCTGTCCGCGGCCTCAGCGCCGGTTCGATCCCCGCCGGCCTCGGAGCAGCCCACATGGCAGCAGACCTCTCCTGCCTCCTCGCTGCCGCCTCATAGGTGTACTTTGGCCAGTCTGTCTGTCTCTGGGGAATCCTCTCACCCCCCAACCCCCGCATCTGGCCTGTCCCCGGCTGGTATGTAAATAAATACATCTTTTTTTTTAAAAAAAGAAAATGTATTTTAAACTCAAAGTTCCCCGCAGACGTTGTGAACTTACTTCTCATGAATAGCGAGGACAGATCTCCTCGCCCGCCGTCATTAGTTCTGTCCCGCCGTCCTGGTGAAGCCTCCCGTCCTCCCCTGCGTCGCGGCGTGGCGCGGCCCTCACTCGCCTCAGCTCCCGCCATTGCCCGGCGTGGCCAGCGGCGCTCTCAGGCCTCCGACCGGCCCCATAGCAACCCTTTGCTGTATCGGCCCTTTAAGGGCGCACTCGGCAGTTACGTCATCACTCTGAGACTCCCAGGATGCACCAGGTGGAAAGGGAGAGGCCGCACCAAGAGCGGCTCCCGGGGGCAAATTAAAGGTGGGAGCCGAGCGAGTGTCGCCGTCTTGTGGACCGGGGTGGTATCGTGGGAAAATCGCGGTCTGGACCGCCAGCGGGACGCGAAGTGGCCGCGCCAAGAGCGGGTCCTGGGGTGGTGGGGCAAATTAGAGGAGTGCTACGAGCGAGTGTCGCCGCCTTGTGGACAGGGGTGGTATCGTGGGAGAATCGCGGTCTGGAACGCCAGCCGGAGGGGCAGTGGCCACGACAAGAGCGGCTGGGGGGGGGCGTGGCGTGGGAAATTAAAGGCTCGAAATGAGCGAGCGACTGTCGCCGTCTTGTGGACGGGTGGTATCGTGGGAAAATCGCGGTCTGAAAAGCCAGCCGGATGAAGTGGCTGCGCCGAGAGGCTGGGGGCGGGGGCACATTAAAGGAGCGCGAGGACCGAGTGTCGCCGTCTTGTGGACCCGTTTGGTATCGTAGGAAAATCGCGGTCTGGAACGCCAGCGGGACCGGAAGTGGCCGCGCCAAGAGCGGCTGGGGGGGGGTGGGGCGCAAATTAAAGGAGAGCGACGAGCAAGTGTCGCCGCCTTGTGGACCGGAATGGTATCGTGGGAAAATCGCGGCCCAGAACGCCAGCTGTACCGGAAGTGGCGGCGCCAAGAGCTGCTCCCGGAGGCAAAATGAAGGAGCTAGACAAGCGAGTGTCGCCGCCTTGTGGACTGGGGTGGGATCGTGGGAAAATCGAGGCCAGTAACGCGAACGTGGCCAGAAGTGATGGCGCCAAGAGCGGCTCCCGGCGGCGTAATGAAGGCGCGGGTGGGGCGGGTGGCGCCGCCTTGTGGCCCGGAGGGGTAATGTGGGGGAAACGCAGAATGATGATGGCAGGGAATGGGGAAGGGAAAGCGCCAGGAGCGGTGAGAGAGATGGAAGGCGGGAAACGGGAGGAGGAACGAGGTCGCGGGGCCAAGCACGGAATAACGTGCAGGCTGGACTGTGACTAAGATGCAGAGACGTGTTTCAGGGCAGTGGAAAGGGCGGTGAGGGCCATGTGGAAAATAACGGGGGAGGGCGCCGCCTGGTGGCCATCAGTGGCGAGACAGCACATCCCTGACAAGGGGCCAACGGGGTGGAAAGGCCCAGGGGGCCGAGTTTGGGGACCACGAGGGGGCCTGTGGGGCGGAGTCGAGTGACGGGGGGAACAGCCATGACGGCCCGCAGGGAAGGGGCAGCCAGCGCAGGGGCAGGAGCAGCAGAGTGTGGTGGGGATGTGTGTCCAGGAAAACTGGACAGACTAAAATGTGAGTGAGACTCGGAAATCTGTCCTCACTATTCCTGAGAAATAAGTTCACAACCCCTCTGCAGAGAACTTTGAATTTAAAATACTTGAATTTTTAATGGAAATAGTAATTTTATTTTTGGAAATGACCTAAGGAAATGTTTTCAAATTCAGATAAAAATCTTTGTGTAAAAATGTTCACCAACACTTTATTTACAGTAAAATGATTTGAAACTAAATAAAAAAACCCCAATATATACAAAATTAAATGTAAAGACTGGACAGATACAGTAACACTGAAGAGCTTTTAATGCTGTGGGGAGTACTTACAGTTCAGTGTTAAATGATGAAGTAGAATATAAAATTTTAGCAATGATGTAAGCATCCCCCCCTTAACCCTTGTGTGTGAGTAGAACACAATGTAAACAACTGTACATCGAGTGGAATATTACACAGCAGTACAAATAAAAGCCTCGAGCTGCATCCAAAATGTGGACTAGTCTTGCCTTCATACTGTTGAGTGACATTCAAGACAAACAGAACTTGATTTATTTAAATATTAAATACCAGACAAACTTAAAATCACGTTTTAATGATACATGCAGTGATACATACCTAGGATATGTAGTGAAGAACAAAAAAAAAATGAGTGACAGCCATATAGGGGCTTCCTTATGGACGAAGATCATGATATGATGTGACTTTACATTTCTTGACCTATTTAATGGAAGCTCATTTTCCAATTCTCAAGCTACTACCCACCTTCTGCAGAGGCATTCTATTTCACAATTGCAAATATTGGGGAAAAAACTAGGAAGGAAATGTGCTAAGTCATAAGAGTACGTTTTGATACTGTTCATCCTATTTTATTCTACTCTTCTATAATATACATTTTCTATAATATACACGACTCCCTATCATTATCAGGACCAGTAACAGAAGCTGATGAAAAGTCCACTGGTAAAATGACCTCCTTGCTCCTTGGCAGGGAAAAGTAATTTTTAAAAAGTCTTAAGAATTCCATGTGGTTACAGAAAAACATTTGAGGATGAAACATGGCCTCCTGCTAGTCACGCAGGCGAGGGCAGAGCAGCAGCACTGGGAGTTCATGTCAAGGTCACCTCAATTTTTTTTTGTGAGGGGGTTTGGGTTTCTAGACTGAACCTGTGCTCTGGCTAGATTTTAAAACCAAAGAAACAACCTTTACCCCTTTCTTCATTTTTAAATTCAGAAATTTATTCTGTTGAATCCACAGCTGTATAGAGCTTCAGTTACAAATAAAAGTGAAAACAAGACAGTTCATCAAAGTCTGAGCCCTTCCAGCTTCCAAATACAAGACAGTTGTCTACACCTACGAGAGCAGCAGAACAAAATAATGACTGGGGCCAGGATATTTCATAAAACAAACTTTTATATAACTGAAAGCTCCCCCTTGTGACTAGTTCATTGCCTTTACAAAAAGGAAAAAAAAAAGAATAGAAGAGAGAGGCCTCCCTGGGGGCACAAGGGGTTGAGATGCTGCACTATAAAGCTATCACAGCAACTGCAGCACGAGTTCGATCCCTGTCTAGGGAGCTGACCCACATGGTGCAGCAGACCTCTCCTGTCTCCCCGCTGCTCCCCTCAGCAGTGTGTTTCAGTTAGTCTGCCTGTTCTGCCCCCCATTCTGTCTCTGATGAATCCTCTCACCCCCCCCCATCTCTGGCTTACACCCCAGTTCTTGTGTGCCTAAATAATCTTTTAAAAAAAGATTTATTTATTTATGCACACAAGAACTGGGTACAGGCCAGAGACGTATGGGGTGAAAGGATTCACCAGAGACAGAGCAGGGAACAGAACAGGCAGATCTACTGAAATACACTGCTGAGGGGAGCAGTGGCCATGACAGGAGAGGTCTGCTAAGCCATGCGGGACCCTCTCTGGCTGGCGGGGATTGAACCGGCGCTGCAGAGGCTGCGGACAGCTTCACGCTGCTGCGCTCAACTGCCTGCGCCACCAGGGGAGGCCCTGTTTTAAATACAATTCTTAACACACCTCACTTTATTTGCATTTAGAGTTAGGGTCTTCTACCTTTTGATTTGTAGATTGTAAGAGGTTAAGGAAGAATTTTGTCTTTATTTATCCCGCAGGCCCAGAGGTGATCTTTTTTCGAAAGGCCGAGCCCTGAGCCATCGGCAACAGAGCACCCATCGCCCCAACAGGGGCACATTCGCACTTAAAAGCAAGCAGGAGGTAGAGAAGCAGGAGACGTCCCAGAGCTCACCTGGTCATCTGGGGCGCACAGGTCAGGCTCCTGGCCAGAGAAAGTCCATCAGTCACTCCCTGAAACTTTCAGTCCAGCCCCAGGCCTTGTCCCCACATCACTCCAGCTCATGAGCAGGTCGCAGTGGGCCGGGGCAGGCGGCGGGCAGGAGGCACGGGCGGGTCTGTCGCAGGCTCCGGGACTCCCAGCCTTTCCCGACAGCGTCCACCGCAGCCAGACCCTAAAACATCCGCAGGTCATTCAAACAGCAGACGAGGTTGCTTGAATTTCTGGGAAAGATTTTTTTTAAATCGTTGTTCAAAATCCCCCACCTGCAGCTGACAGGAAGCAAGGCCTGGGGCCTGCCTGGGGGCGCCGGGCTCAGCCCCGCCCCGCGAGGCCATCCGCGGCCGCCGCCGAGCGCCGCCGCCGGGAGGACAGCGCGGGAGGACGGGCAGGGAGGCCTCCCGGGACCAGACCCCGACTCGCGCGGGGAGGCGGGGCCGAGGGGGGACAGGACCGTCCACCCGGCCGCGGAGGCCGGACCCTCGGGCGCCAGCGCCGGGCCGCAGGCAGGAGGCCCGAGCGAGACCCGATGCTTCAGGGGGAGGCGCGCGGGCCTGAGGGGAAGGGGGTGGGGACGGGCCGCCCTGGGACCCCCGGCCCCTGCCTAGGGCTGCCTGTGGCCCCACATCCGCCGGAGCGGCCGCTGCACGGAGGAGCGACCCTCCCCGGGAGAAAGGGCTGCGGCGGGGCCGTCTCTGCAGGGCCCGGGGCCCGGCCCTCTGCCCGCCCGCGACTGCGGGGGCCTCTTCCCGCCGCGCTCCCCCTCCGCGGGGCGCCGGCCTCCTGCCCGCCGAGGCCTGTCAAGCCGCCCGCCGGCAACCACGCAGGCCTCTCAGCAGACCCGCCCTGGCCCTGAGGAAGCTGCCCTGCAGAGATCACCCGTGTCTCTGTCTCGGGGAGAAACGGGCCCGGGGCGCTCGCCGGGTGCCGCGGAAACGGGAGCTCGGGGGACACCTTTGCCAGAGGGACCCCAGGACCCCCACACGCTCTACAACCTACACCATGTTGGCGACCACGAAGGGACTCGTCACGTCATGTGGTGCCAACATCACATCCCCAGCCGGGAAGCTGACCCACGGGGCATGGCAGCCCTCTCCCGTCTCCCCGCCGCTCCCCTCAGCAGTGGATTCCAGTCAGTCCACCTGCTCTGTTCCCCGCTCTGTCCCTTACCGCACCCCCGCACCTCTGACTGCACCCCAGCTCTTGTGTTCCTAAGTAAATAAATCTGTAAGAAAATAAACAAAATAAAACAAAGGCATGACTAAAACGTCATTTACCTGCAGATCCTGACATGGATCCTATTGCAAACATGAAAAAGCAGCTGTTATTCAAAATACACTCTGAGAAAAATGAAGGCTCTTGGCTCCACATAGAAGGTTTCTCGTTGCACATCATGGTGCAGCACAATACACTGTGGCCCCGACTCTGACATCCCTGAGTCTGCTCCGTGGTTTGGTGTAATATTCAGCCTTGAGCTGGGAGCCTGTGTTTATCTTTGGGGCTCAGATGGGGCTCCTGGGGACTGCACAAACTTGGGTGTTGTTTCCTGAACCGAGGCTGGCCTCTCTCTGCCTTTGGATGGGTGAGCTCAATAGAGGATCTTCTACTGCCACTTTGACTTTAGTTTTCTGGCTCTGTTTCCCTGCTCAGCTTTTTCTTTTTTCTTTCTTTCTTTCTATTTTTTTTTTGCATTTTCTTCTCTTTAAATTATACAGGGATCTCTTTTTAACATTTCTTTCAGGGAAGATCTAGTGTTAGTGGACCACTTCTTTGGCTTTTGTTTGTCTGGGAAGAACATTATTACCCTCTCGTCTTTGTAGGACAATCCTGAAGATTAGGATATTTGTGACTCATATATTTTATCTCTATTCTGAATACGTTATTTCATCCTCTCCTTGCCCTACAGTTCTCCAGAAATGGAAGTTGGGGCCATCCCCACATATGCACGGTCCATGACAGAAACTTGTTAAGAGGTGCTGGGATCTGGACCTTGACCTGGCACTATTACCTGAGCGTTCTGAAAGGATAACTCACAAAACTAGAGCCGTAGATATCATCTACAAGGCTTTCCATGAAAACCAGCATCAGGAACATCATCAGCACACTCCACCTCTAGACCAGACAGAGAGAGATTGGAGAAAGATGAAAATTTCAATAGAAAGCAGTCTAATAAATCCAGAACAGATGAAAATTATAAGGAAAAGACAGCCAAGATCACCAATTTTCTGGAGCACAAGGACCACAGGGAAAGCTTTGGGTATGGGGACCAGGCAGGAGTCGTGCATATCGCTGGAGCGCCAGGCAAGAAACCCCAGCTCCAGACATGCAAATGACCCTTACTTTCCTTTTACTTTGTGAAATGAAAGTGTTTATTATTGTAAAATAATCTCCTTTGAACTCACTGAGTATTTCTACTGGGAGAAAAAGATGAAGAGAATAGGTCGGGGGCTACCAGCAAACACTTCCATTTTAAGGACATTTCAGTGACTCATCCAGGGCTGCTACCGTCTAAGGCCAAATGTGGCATTTACTCTATGAAGCTAATGCATGTCCTGAATGTTTGCTTGGGGCATTATTTCATTTCCCTGGAAGTTCCTTTAAGATTCAGAATATAGAATATTATTCATTGTATGCAAAAATATAATGGGTCTTTATAATGTAGTAAATAAAAATGATATTTTAGGATATCATCACTGTGAATGTTACTATGAGATTAATATCTCATAGTCTAAAGTCCATTCACCTTATTCACAGAAATTCGTGCATTCTACATGGATATAGAATATTGAATTGAATTCTTTCCCCTGTTTAGTGAGATGAGCTCTCTAGACTGACCTCATTTTAGTGGATTTACTTCATACCATTGTTCCCAATATGAGTTTCTTTGTATTTGGGGGCTTTATATGTACCTAGTTGGCCAGAAAACTGAGCAGGCAAAATATAAGCAGACCAAAAATACCACAAAAACAGCAACAAAAATACCATCTTATGTTCAGAACAACTGAATAGCAACATTTCTCTATATCAAAGACAAGAAGCTACCTAGAAATCATTTTTCAACTCTATAATATAGTGATAGCCTGAAATGAATGAGGCAAGTTCTGAGTGATCAGGTAACTAGTTCTTCCCAGTAGAAAGTGAACGGATGTGACAGATGTTGTAAGAATAGAGCATAAGAGCAGCCATTTTAAAGTACAGCAGCCATTTAAGAGCTTAACTGACAGTGAGGTTGCAATTCCTAGAATCCTAGATTCTAAGAACCGGCGTCTGTAACCATTAGATTACCCTAACAGTCGGATTCCTAGAATGCACACCTGAAGCTGTCAGATTACCCTAAGGGACCCATTCTGTATACCTATTAAAACTGCTTAATTTTGGTGCTCGGTGTCCAACCCTGTCTGGGCACGGCCGCTGTGTCGGTTCCACTCCGAGGGTTTGGACCCTAGCTCGAGCTAGCTAATAAAGGCCACTTTTGCTTTTGCATTGAACTTGGGTCTTGGTCGTTCTTGGACTCGGCACCGGTGTGCTCCAACAATGTCACCTGTGGACATGGTAAGAAACTCATGTTCCTTTTCAGTGACCTCTTAGTCCACAACCAAAGAATTGATGTGACATACTATGATATTTTCGAGGATACTTGATCTGTGAGCCAGAGGTTGCTAGTGTTCTTGCAAGACCTCACAAGAAAACTGGTTCCATCAGAATTGCTTCTTAGAAAGAATCATTTTATAAGAAAAAAATGTTTTATTCTGTTGAACTGTTGCATTTGGATTTAATTATCACCACAATCTTGTGTCTTCACTAATCTTTATGATGAATATACTCTCTGCTTTGCTTACAAATCTTTAATATTTCCAGAGATCTCAGTCTATGTATCTCCCTAGGAGCTCTGTAACTTCACCTATTTTTCATTCGTGTGCACATACTTTGTGGGTATTTCATTGTGTTATCGACTTTACTGGGAAGGGAGCAGTTGGTCATGTAGATTGGTACGAAATGAAATTGTTACTGGAATGATAACCATGACATTAACAATGCATGCAGATAAGTAGTGATTTTACCACTTCTTAAAAGTTGAACTACATCCCCTTAAATTTAGCCAATACTATTTGCTGTGCCCATGAACATTCTCTGACAGGTGTGATGAGACCGCACTTCCTGCCTTCGTTATTCAGACAGTGAAAACTGTTTCATGGAACATGTGTTTTAGATGAAAAGGAACAGGTAGGAAATAAAACTATAATGCAAATCTAGCCCCACAGCAGGATAGTTGACAGCTGCATGTCTGCAGGAAAAAAGTAGTCAATATTTTCTGTGAGGATAGACTGAAATAGGATTAAAGTACAGCTGGATTTTATCTGATGCTCCCTAACAGTACACATTTCTCTGACATAAAAGAAGTATTTGGATGAGTGTGACAACTTAGACTATTCAGTAATCACATATTCTATCAATTTTTTGTATATAAATATTGATAATTTTCATATAGCTAATGTGGCATTTCAGAAATACGAACACCTTGCTAAATACTGTTTGTAATAGATTCAGGTTCGCTCAATGATGCCTGTGTGATGACTTCTCTAAAACCTTACCAAAATGATGTACACAATTCATGACCTTTTTACTAGACTGAGAAAGATACAACCCTGTGATCTCAAGAACTGTATGATGCTGCATGCACTGTATGCGCTCAGATTCTTCCAGAAATTTTCTAATTATGTTTACATATGAGCTTGATCAGTATGTTTGAAATGTTATTCTGAAGAAAATAGATCATATATAATATTATAATATACTTTTCATTAAACTATTAAAACTGTTCTTCCATAAATATTCAGTTAATCTTATGTATCAAATAAATCACATTCCCAAATATTTTCTTTTGCTTTATGCTTGTCAGGCAGAATTTTATGTTCATTTTTATTATATTCCTATGCATAATGTGAAAGTTCCTACCAAAATGCAGCAGTAGTTCATATGAGCAAAGAGATTTTTTGGATAACAGACTTGGCTATGAGACCTCAAATCACCAAAAAACAAAACACAGCAAGGGGTTAGGAATTTCAGTTATTTAAAAAACACAAGAGGGCCTCCCTGGTGGTGCAGGCGGTTGGGAACTGCACTGTGAAGCTGTCTTCAGCCTCTGCAGCGTGGGTTAGACCCCGGCTGGCCAGTGAGAGTCCCACATGGCGAGGCACACCTCTCCTATCTTGCCAGCTGCTCCCCTCAGCAGTGTATTTCGTCAGTCTGCCTGTTCTGTTCCCTGCTCTGTCTCTGGTAGATGCTCTCACCCCCCACATCTCTGGCCTGTACCCTGGTTCTTGTATAAAAATAAATCTTTAAAAAAAAAACAAGAAACTCTTAGTTTTCACAGCATTGACAGGCTGACACTAACAACAAGGGTTACGTTGATATCCATTACTCTAAGGACAAAGAATGAAATTGAGCCTGGCCCAGAGACCCTGGATCATCTGTACCGCATCCTCCTTTCTTAAAATAGACAGAAAGATATACCCAGCTCATGGGTTGGAGGAATCAACACTGTCAAAATGGCCATCCAACCCAAAGCAATTCAGACATTCAATGCAATCCCAATAAAAATCCCAATGGCGTTCTTCAAAGAAATAGAACAAAGATTACTGAAGTTCATCAGAAATCACAAAAGACCCCAAATAGCCAAAGCTTTCCTGACATCAAAGGGGGGAAATGAAGGTATCCCACTTCTGATCTCCAATTGTACTATAAAGTCAGAGTAGTTAAAGCAGCATGGCAATGGGACAAAAACAGACACACAGACTAATGGAACAGAATTGAGAGCCCAGATGAAAAACCACATGTTTATGCACAAGTAATATACAAGACAGGAGCAAAGTACATACACTGGGACAAGGAAAGCTTCTCCAGTATATGGTGCTGAAAAATAGGAACTGCCACAAGCAAAATAAAGAAACTAGATCATTATCTCATGCAACACATGAAAATCAACTCAAAATGGATAACTGACTCGGCTATGAGACATGAAACCACCAAAAACCAAAACACAGAAAAGAATAGGACAGAATAGAATGAAACTCCTAGATTCCAAAAACTTGCCCCAAGTTTATAGCCATCGCCAGGGTCCCTCCGGAAGCCATCCTGACATTGTCAGTCTCCTCCCGGAGCTCAGATCCTGATGCTGGCAGCAGAGATTCCAAAGTCAGCAAGAAAGACGGTGGCAGCAACACAGCGTCCACTTCGTGGAAGGGCAGCCGTGGGCTGACTTCCCGGCGAGCTCGCCAACCCCACGAGGCCAGCAGCATCGTCCATTATTTGGGTGCTAAGACTCCCGGGAAGCAACGAGGAAGGAAAAGCACCTCTGGGAATAACCAGAGCCAGGTCAGGCCCGGCAGGGGCAGCGCCCAGACCCGGGAGGAAAGCGGAGCCCCAGGCCCACGCGGCCCGCTGGTCAGCCCGCACCCGGGAGACTGGACGCGGCCCGGCCTCCCGCCTGCTGGACCCGGGGCGGGGACGGGCCCCGGAAAGTGGAAACCCCGGTCCCCAAGCTGCCCTGTAGCCCGCGGGGTGGAAACGCACAGGCCCGCGGGGGGCGGGAGGCCCAGGACCCGCCGGGGCGCCCTCGCGGGCCGCAGTCCGGAGCAAACGCCTCGGGGAGCGGCGGGGCCGCGCACGAGGGACCCGGACCCCCGCGTCCTGCCGGCCCCAAAACGAGCCCCCAAAGCCCCAGTTCTCCACATCCCTGAGCCCCGAGCCCTCGCGCCTTCCCTCCCTCGGCCTCACCTGTCCGCTCCCCGCCGCCGGCTCCCCGGGTCAGGGCAGCGGCGCCCCCGCGGGGCTCCTGAGGGACCAGGCTCACCCCAGCCGAACCTCACCCCCAAAGGCGGGCCAGCGGGGCCAGGGGCCTGGCCTGGGCGGGAGCGCATGCGCGGTAGCGGCGCAGGGGCAGGGCGGGGCGGGGCGGGGCGGGGCGGGGCAGGGCGGGGCGGGCGGGGCCCGCAGGGGCTCCCGGAGGCCACGCCCACCCAGCGCCGGCGCTGGCGGGAAGGTTCGCGAATAAACCCTGAGATGCGCTGCTCCTGGCCGCGGGGTCCATCTCTTGCTGCAATAGCTGGCGAGAGCTGGATGGGGCTTTCTTTAAGAAATGACCTAAGGAAATGCTTTGAAGACAAAAATCTATATTCGTGAAAATGCTAACCACCACTTTTTCATACTAACAAATGCTGGAAACAATCTAAATCAAAACTCCAGGAAACAGTCAAATAGATGACAATCAGTTTAGCAATTAGGTACAATCATTCTGAATAGTTTTCAATGACTTGAAAAATACTTAAAATGTTAAATGCAGGAGGAAAGTTATAAAATTGTAGACATAGTGTATTCCAGATAGAAAATAAACTTAGGATTGATTTAAATTTTAAATACCAGACAAAATTGAAATCACGTGTTATGCATGCATTTAGCGATCACACTTAGCTGATGAATTGTCTTGAAGGGCAAGGGAAACAAGTATGATGACGGCCACATATTCATGCTTAGTCGGGGAGGAAGATGATGATACAATGTGGTCTCAGGTTTCTTCACCCAGTTAATGGAAGTTCATTTTGTAATTTTAAATTTTCACGTGTACAGTCTCTGCACTGACACACAGGTGTTAGAGTTCACAATTCAAAATCTTGGAAATTATGAGGAAGAAAGTAAGCTAACTCATGAAATTATCT